GGACATCAGGCTGAGAGTTCTCATATCACACCTCCTGCTGGGCTTGGCTCTGATGGCCAGGCACGAAAAGTAATATATCGGGTTTGAGCAACAACAAAAAAAATCCCCACATTCATTTCCTCTCTAACTCCCACACACACTCTTGTTCACACACACTCAGGGAGAGCACCTGGCTGTATTTGTCAAGTTTCTCTTGACACATGTTGTCTGAGCCTCGGGGAGGGATTTGGACTGTACGAGAGCTGTTATAAATAGCCTCTAGTCTCTCTTTGTTGATGTGATGGATGCTTTGCAATACCGGCGCTGATACAAGTTATCATTAAGTTGCAGGAATGTCTTAGAAGTGTTTTTAGATGTAAAAGATGAGTGCAATTTTTCAAACTCAACCAACGCTCAGAGATGGATGTGATGGAGGTGTTGTGCAATTTTGATTCAGTGTTTGCAAAGCTTTGCCCGCCCTGATCTCTAATTTTCTCCAGCTGTAAGATAGGCAGATAAAGTTTTGTGATGCCTGTTTCCCTCCTTGGCTCCCACTCCTCCTATTTGTCTTCCTCCTCCGCCTCCTCCGCCTTCTCCTCCCACGGGCTGGAATGAGCAAAAAGAGAACGAGAGGACACATCTGAACAGCATGCTGTTCTTGTTTGCCTTTCCCAGACTGCCCTGCTGCTAGTGGGAGTATTCAGTTCCCCTCATCACTTTATCTCCACTGTCAGATCCTACAGTTATCTCTTAAACATCCTACACAGTCACAGCCATATAGACCCAAGCATCATTGTTACAAAGGCTCAGGTTTTTACAAGTTTCATGCTCTAACCTGCGCATGCGCATCCTAAGCTGCAGTGAGAAACCTTTGACACTTTCTCTCAGAAATAAACTCAATAATGAAAATGAAAGTTTTGTATTACACACTTTTGTTTTCACTCTAATCTCACCAATAAGAGCAGGAACTTTATCTTTAAGAGCATAACCTCACAATGAGGATGATGTAATGTTTATCTATGTATTCGTCTACATATATATAGATACATAGCTAGATAGATATTAGGAAACTGGACTAGACTAAAAGACTAGAACAGAGGGATAGTCTCTGAAAGCTAGATCCTGAAGAAATGGGAATAAATCCAGCAAAGACCTGAGAGATGCAGCTGATTGATCTACTGTTCGTTGAAGCCTCAGCAGAAATTGTCTCAGTGGAAGGGTGGTGGTCAAGAAACATTTAAGGAAGAGAAAGAGGAAAGGCTGTAGGCAGTACAGTTATGGTCTAATTTAGACCATAACTGTACTGGAAACCAGCAGAAACAGGACCGAGGAGCGATGAACCCAAATGAGAAACTTTTGGTTTCTCTTCTATATGGAGATCTTTAAGAGATTAAACTGTGTCGAAGAAGAAAGACGGTCATACCAAATATGAACAAACTGTTTTTGTCTGATTTACTGTATTTCCATGAATATTTAAATAGGTTGGAATAAATTGCTGCACTGACTTGCTGTCATGTCCCATATTTATGATACCAAATAGCGTACAGCTATATGGTTAAATATGACATAAGCCAATCAGATGTGATTAAGCCATCACAGAACAGCCTGGCTCTGGGCACAGAACAGCTTCCTCCTCCTTTCTCTCTGCCTGAATGAACCGCTGCAGCAATGCTGCCCCCTTGTGTGCTGGCTGTGAAGTAATGCAAACAACAGCAACTGTCACTGTTAGAACTTTATCAGGTCTGGTTTGGTGTAGTGATCGTGAGGGGTGAAAAAAGTGACTCAGAAAGTCCTGCAGAATATTTTAAAACTTTAATATACAGTGCTTCATAAATCATTACTAAAAACACAGGTGGTAAAAATCAAAACAAATAAGTTACACTGTAGTAAAAAGCACTTGAGATTCCTTTCTGTTTTCATCATTAGTGTGAACCTCATATGAAAATAGCATAGAAAGTATGCAAACATAGAATTCCATTCTTATATAGATTTCTAATCTTTAGCTAAATAAACCTTTTGTCCCCTCAAAATTCCCTTAACCGGCCAGAAGAAACAAGGAAAGCTCGTGGCCTCGACTTCACCCACAAGTCTGCTTTTAAGAAGCGGGAACACCTTTTTTCTGTTCAACATCCCCCTCCCTCCCCCGGCATGAACCCAAATAAAAAGAAATATAAATTAACATATCAAACATGTGAACAGTCTGCAATTTCTTTTCTCCGCACTAACTGGTGTACAGTTAAACATCTTACCTATCAGCAGTCAGACACACACAGACACACGTTCTTTTAACACGGTGCCCCCCTGCCACACACACACACACACACACACACACACACACACACACACACACACACACACACACACACACACACACGAACAGTCTGTGCATAGACCCAGGTTTAACTTGTGGACTAACCGGTAATTGGAGCCTTTTCTCCCCGCTCCCCCGAGCTCCCCCACTGTGGTTTGTCCTTTAAAGGAAAATAACCCTTTAACCCATTTGTTGCCATGGCAACAGAAGCTGGCTCTGGGCTGAAGGGCTTAACACAGATATGCAGCGATAGACAGATCAAAACACACCGTCTCCGTGGTCCGATTCGGCGCCTCGTATCAGCATAAAGTAAACAGAAAATAAGCGACCACAGATGCACGGCGTAGGGTTAAAACAATTTCGATATCAGCCTTTGATCAGCCACACTGTTATACAAGTCATTTAAATAGCTTCCTTATCACAGCTATACCACTAACGTGCATTTTATTTTATTTATTTCTTTTGCACACGTTTCCATTTAATTATCAAATGCATTTGTAAGCTGAGTCACACTGTCCTTTAGCTGCTGCTGCTGCTGACGACCACCCCCTCCCCACAGCCAAGCTCTCATTGGAGCGTGTTGGTGCCACAACAATCCATATGCAGACTGAGACACTTTTCCATGCTGACTAAAGAGAGACACTATTCTTCTCTTCTGTCGCATCATGCTTCAATTTAGAAACACCGAATATCAGCAACCAAGTGCAAGAACACGAGTTGAATAACGGCACCGACATTTGCCTGCAAAGAGAAAAAAAATCAGGTACTGAAGTAGAGAATGGTCCCTCCCTTTGTCCCTATCTGTATGTTTTATAGTAAACAGTCTGTGTGAAGTGTTTATAGTAAACTTAGGAGCAAACACTCGAGGGGAATTTGTATGACAGCGATAAAACTCTGTAAAGTTCGAGCTTCCATCTCTCTTAATGCCTGTGTTTCAGCTTTTGCCAGTAAATTATTTACCATCATCAACAGTTTGTGGGGAGTGTAAATAATGAGCTGTGGCTGACAGGTTTAGCTAGAGGGCATGTGTAAGAAAAAATAATAATAAAAGAGCCAGATTTAAGAATCTGTGAGACAGACGAAGCAAAGAACTGCCTCTAAAAACCTACAAAATATGACATTTTAGTCTGAACCAGCCACAAGAAGAAATTTCCTTTTGTATTCCGTCAGTAATTAGATGGAAGTATGAGGAAAAAGCATACTGAGGTAGAAAGTATGTGCTAAAGGCCTACAATATTGGTTCAGTTAGCAGTGAGCAAAGTTTCTGCTGCTTCACCCATTTGTTGATGGAAGTAAAGAATTTACTTACACAGGATAACGACAATTTTAGTTTGCTTGAGCCAGATTGTACAAGCAAAAATTTCCACTATTATCCAAACTAATTTAATTGAACTGTCTCGAGTTGGTCATTGCCGTTTCTGCTTCAATGTGTGCATCTGTAGAGACCTGCAGTTTCAACAGTCTGAGTCAATGCTTCCCATCAGTTACAGCGGTGCCAGTGAGGCATCCGGAGCAGCTGGTTGTAAGCGTGAAGGAGAAGGTGGGAGGGGGCCGGGTGGGCTTGAACACTCAGGTAACAGGGGGTCAACTTGTTCTATTGCACATACATCTCTGCCTTTTCTTCATTTCATGTTTCCAAAAGAAATCTCACAGTTATAAACAGGCAGCAAGTAGCATTATTGAGTTTTTTTGTTTAAATTAAAAAAATAAAAATTAAAAAACAGAAAAAAAAAAAAAAAAAAAAAAAGCTCTGGACAAAGATGGGAAAAAGCGCTTAATTAAACTGCAGCCAATACCAGAATATAATAGTAATAATAATAATAATAATAATCATAAACAGGAATATTCACAAAAAAACAACAATAACCGTATACAGCTACACAGGCAAAAAAGAAAAAAAAAGAAACGTCACCTGTATACATATCAATAAAAAAAAAAAAACAGTGTAAAATTGATTGTCATTTTGAGATAAAAAGCATAACATCCAAGGCATCGACAGTGAGGAACTAACTGGGAGCTATAAAAGGTGACGGGGCTGAAGGTGGAGTAGGTGGAGGGGGTTTCACAGAACAAAAGCCCAATGAACACAGAGAACCCATTTGGCGCACATGCGTCTGACAAAGCTTTTGGCAGCTTTGTGTCCAGGAGAGCGGCGACACAGAGGCAACAGTTTGCACATGCCATCCATCCATCTGTCCGTCCCGGAGCGGAGAACCTAACAGCACGAGCCTCCGTTCGCTTCAACGCTCCCCCAGCTGTCCGATTTTAATGTCTTCAAAACTTCACCCGATGCTGGACGGTCGAGATGCAGCTTTTAAGCGGGTGCTGTGGCTCATCGTAAGAAGCGAAGTAGAAAAAAAACTAAACAAAAGGGGGTCTGACGAGTTCCACACCTGTCAAAATGATGCAGGGCAAGTTTCAAACTGGCGAGGAAGGCCGCGGCTGGGAGTGGAGAAAAAGGACAGCGCCGAAAGAAGCGGCATGGCTTTGATTTGACCGAGCCCTGTGACCAAGAGAGGTAACACTTGAAAAGCTTTTCAAGCAGAGTAAAGGGGAGTTGGTGAGTTTTGGAAAGCACGTTGTTCCAACACGAATAAAACACTCTCACTCAGTCCACGCGTTCACAGTTAAATGAGGACACGGGAGCTCATCTGTCCCTGAATGTGCCAAGTAACAGAAGTCTTCTTGTTCCACAAAAATTTACAGAAACTTCACAGGGGGGAGAGTTTCTTTATTTCTTTTCAACTGTCCTTCTCCTGTTCAGTAATCAAACCTCGCTACCGTTGCATTCGGTGTGTATGGTCTTCCCATTTACTGCCAGTCATCGTCGTCCTCGTCCTGTGCGTCTGAAGAGTCATCATTGGTGCTGTCGCCGCCCACCTGTCGCGTCCCGTTCTGCTGCCGCGCAGCCAGGATGGCAGCGGCCTCGGCTGCTTTAGCCGCCGCCCGCTCCTCAGCCTCCTTCTGCCGCAGAGCCGCAGCCTTCTTCTCTTGCTCGGCGTGGCTCTTCATGTGAGCGCTGCGGCTCTTCACTTTGTAGAAAATCCTGCAGGGTTAGGGAAAAGCAGGTCAAAGATGCATTTTGCTTTCATTGCTCAGAGTGGTTATATTAATGCCTTCATGCTTTACAAGCAGCTAAAATGCAACTCTGCATAATCGCCTCATTTAATATGTACGGCTCCATAAATATGCAATCTGCTACTCGTGCTATAAAGAGGAAAGCAGTGCTGTTTGTGTTTGTTAAGCAGGCTCAGTTAAGCTCAGTTTGTAAGTCTGGAGGTCAGGAACACAAAGCTGCTTTCAAGCATCAAAAAAAAAAAAAAAAAAAAGCTGGTACTGGACGGACACTGGACACCAGCTACGTCCTGGCTATGTGCGTCTGTTTGCAACATGACAAATGGAGGTGGCTGAACACACACAGGGCACGTGTAAGACATCAGCCTCCAACATCACTATTATCAGAACAACTAATCATGTGTTGCCAGAGACAGATAAACCTCTTTCCTCATCACTAGGTCTGACTTGTTAGATATGAAACTGTGGTTCTCTAGAGTTTATTTTTGAAACAGTCAGTGACACATTGGAAGTTCCTCAGCCATGTCATTGACAACTTAATTTAAACATATTAAAACAAACAAACAAACAAACAAACACTATCGGGTACCAATGCAAAGGGAAAGACATGCAAAGAAAACAAGGCTGTTTGGAAAAAGGTGGAACCCATTTCAGCTGCTGTTTGCCTGACATGGTCACAGTAAAACAAACCGCTTAAGACTGAATATGCAGAATTTGAATATATAACTTTATGAATTATGGTGTAGAGAAAATGTTCAAAGCCCACTAAGCAAAAAGACATCATTATAAGTAAAAGGGTTCAGCCGGGGGGAATTATTTTATTATTTTAAAGAGCACAAAATGAAAATTAGATTATACACTCTGGGAACTATCTCATAAAGCCTCTTTTATTCAAGTGTTATTGAAATACTGCACATTATTCAACAACTCATATAAAGGGTTCTCACACATTTACTCTAAGCTCAGTACTTCCAGACAGCAAAGAATCTGTCTCTCTGTAAAGAATGAGGTCAAAGTTCACTAGCATACACGAACACAAGCTTCTAAACAACAATGATTTTCAGAAAACATTACAACTCCAAAGAGTACTAAAATTCGATCATTTTAGCTCCACAATAAATCTCACGTCATGTGACACAACAGCAGATCTGCGATAAAACATTTCAAAGCTGTGAATCACCTAGCTGGATATCTGTGGTGGAGGACAGTCTATAATGAGGACACTGAGCTGGTGTGAAGAGCAAGTGTAGTGCTCTTCAAGTCATTGGGTAGAGCTGCACTGACAGGAGGTGTGATGTGCCGTATCTACTCTGTGTTTCGGTTGCTAGGACACAGTTGGCAATAACATGGCCGGTGTTGCCAGAGGACGAGTTGTTATTTTACCAAAGCATGACAGGACGGTTTGATTCTTTCAGAGAGACACCATGAGACACTTCCCTCTATTTACCATTCATATTCCAAGTGGGCAAAAGAAGTACAAATATTTCTGACAAAATTTTTATTTTTCCCATCTTGTCCTGTCTAAGGCTACTTACGCAACTCGAATGAGTGCTGCTGTCATCTTTACATAAGCAAACAGACTCACCCCAGCCTCTCCGACACAACAGCGGTGACTGATGCCACATTTCTGATCACTAACCTGCCACATTTCTTGCAGGGAAATTCCCCCTCCTGACCAGCTGGGCCTTTGTTGCCTGTCGAAGGAGTCGTCTTGCGGGCGTTGCTTTCGTAGCGCTGTTTGGAGCTGGGAGGTGGCGGGTGAGGGGGGTGAATAACCCGGGACAGCGACTGCTCCCTCCCCGTGTCGTCCTGGCCTTTCATAATCAGAACGGTCCCAGGCTGCACACCCAATAAAAGAAAGAAGTGCATTAACATGAAAGCTCCAAAACACCTTTAACATAGCTGCTTAGTGCAGCTGAAGCCACTTTACGAGCAGCTTTTATATAGAATAGCTTCACAACGGTATGCATGTGGACGCATAAATGAGGACACAATCAAACTGCAACATACGCACAGCCTGAATTCATCTTTAACATTTAAAAATGAAAAAGAAAGAAAGGAGAAAAGTTTCTTGCCGAGTCACCGTTTCCCAACAAAGACTATGGAGTTGCACAATGCAGAGCAGAGAGCTGAGGGGAGGACTTGAGTTTTCTTCTCCAAAACCCCAGCGGGGGGCAGCAAAAACAACAGCCAACCAGCAACTCAGGCAAGGTTCAAAAGGACAAATCTTCAACTGACACATTTCTAAAGCAGGAATCAGTTTGCGGCAAAACATTTTCCATAAAATCTAATCTTATCTTCCCAAACTCTCCTGCAGTTTCTCTTTGCTTTAAATTAATTTATATCAAACTTCAGTCGATATACTCGCTTTACAATATCTTTTAGAATAGTTTGTGTGTGCACAAAAGCAAAAAACTAAAGATGATTAAAATAAATTACATTATTTCTACTGTGAAAAATTATTTTTGTAAAAAAGCACGAATATTATACTACTAAATAACACACTATATGCGATAAGTATAATGAGTATAATAACCACAGTAATGATAGAAATTCAGTGCCACCAAACTAGAGCACCAACCTTCGTATTTTGGGGTTGTATTATATTAAAAATACTGTTTTACTCATTTTATCTCATCTTTGAGGACAAAGAGGAGAAAACACTGAAAGGACAGACTTCTGCGCTCGCTGCTCAGCTATACATGTTTTCATTTAATTTATTCACGTCATCTTTAATTCATGCAGCTCTTCTAATTGCACACGTACATTCTCTGTGGACGGCAGCGCATGAGACGTCCTGGTAGGGCAGACATCCGGTTTCCTGTCAGCTGACCCTTCCCATTTCCTGCTGTCCTCCTCCCGCTGTGGCTCCAGTCTGTGAGAGCCCTGCTGGTCCAAGAAGAACATTGACTGTAAGACACACATGTCTGAGGGAAACTTACATCTACTAGTATACAATTAATTTTGAGAGCTATTTTGTACATGACTTCATTCGCACTGTGGCTACTTAAATACAATTATAGCAAACATGCTGATATAGAGATATATATATGCATGCAGCACTATTCAGTTACCATAAAACCCAAACAGCCTGCAGTTGTACTTTTTTTTAACATGCTCTACCTTCTATTATCAGTGTGTAAGGTTACTGTAGACACCATGAACCACAGTTGCAGACAGCTACAGACTTTTACATACGGTAGTTCAGTTCAACAGCGATCAGTGAGGATATTTGCATGTATTAAACAGACATCCTTTTATCCGCTATTTTCTGCAACGCTAATGTGAAACATGGTTTAAGACTGACCTTGCGGTCCATCTCCTCTTCTGTGGTCAAAGGCTCTGTCTCACCGTAGGTTAGCGTACCATTGCGGCCAGTCTTCACACGCTTCTTATAGGTGTAGTAAAACTCCACACACTGGGCCACCGTCTTTGTGGATACCTGTGAACCGCAACCGCGCTCTTTATTAGTGAATTTTAAACATTTCTCTTTTTCATACAGTCGCTCTACATGGATGAGCATTTCAGAGCTGCTAAAACAAGCAATCGCACCCAAATGAGGTCAGAGCTTTAAAGCTTTAAAGGTCAGAGCTTTAAAGGTAGCTTTTTTTAAAGCTACCTTTAAAAAAGGTACCGGTCCGTGAGTCGTTTGGTACCGGACCGTGAGAGTTGAGGCTCAGGTGTGAAATGTATGGTTTTCAGGCTTTTTAAATCAGTTTTCAGCGTTATTTTGTTATCGGTTTTTTATCGTTAACCCTGTTTTCCTGGGTCTTTTCACGTGTGTTATGAATAAATCTTCTTTTTTTCGGTACCGGTACTAGTTTTATTTTGTTGTATTTATCCGCGACACCTTAAAGGCCGGTCCGTGAAAATATTGTCAGGCATAAACCGGTCCGTGGCGCAGAAAAGGTTGGGGAACGCTGAGCTAGCTGATGTGCTTGGTGCAGAGTGGCAGGTAAGGAGCTCTCCAGCCTCAGTCTATAGTAAAGGCATGGACCATGCTAGTGCCCAGTATTAGCTTTCTCGGGTTCACTGGCTAGAGAGAGGCTATTTTAGTAAAGCAATAACCCGAATGACAAATGATGCCACATCACCCTCTCTTAAAGTGAGTGTGTTTCCGTCTTGACGCAAGCCAATGATAGTTAAAGTAACCTTACAGGGGTTGTATCACATCCACCATATTGGATGTGATGCAACATCTTCTGGGGGAAAATTGGTATTCCCAAATGGTTGGCAAGGGATTGCTGGCAGTTGTTGGGTGAAGCTGATCACAAATAGGGTTTTACACCAAAAACATCTTTAGGATTCTTTTGGTCACTGGCAGATATTTGCAGCTGCCTGAAGTTGTAGAGACAAACTTCTCTGCAAGCAAACTCCAACTGCTTTCAGAGCGGTAATAAAACTTGGAAAAGTGTGCAGTAAACTGGAAAATGATAAAATTTGCTTTGCTTTGAAAGCACATGGCCTAAGTTTCCAGTTCATGCTGCACTTTTCACAGTTTCACTACCATTCAGCAAGTAGCTGGCGAGTCTGCATGTAGGCTGACCACAGCAATCTGCTCGTGACCAAAGGCACAGTTGGAGAATATACATTTTTGTCCCCTCATGATCCCTGGTTGCCAGATGGTTATGAACCAGCCTCTAGGCCTGTGTAACTAGGGCCTTATTCACTGACCCGACACTGTTACTATAGTTATCATAGGTCCAATATGGCAGACAAGTAAACGTCATGTGCAAAATCCTCAGGAACCTCAGCAACACTGAAATTTTATTTTTGAAAGAAAACCTCCTTGATCTCTGAAATGGTTCAGACAACAAAATTGTATCATTTTGCACTTTTGAGAAAAACCTGTTGACTATGAGACACCAAAAAAAACATCAAACCAAAAGGAAATACTTCTATGAAGCAACTCAAAGGAAGAAAAATATGTCTACAGTGATCATAGTAGAAAGTGATTGACAGCTACTAGATGGCCTTGTTCTTCCATCACTGTAGTCTGGACTTCCCTCTCCTTGTGTTTGAAAGGACACATACCTGTTTCTGCACCGTGAAGAAGTCTTTCTTGTATGCAGCGATGCCTTTGTTAAACTGGCGTCTCTCAGCTGCTGTCCAACTGTCTGATCCTGTAGAAAGACAGAGGAGGAGGAGGAGAAGTAGAAAGAAAAAAAAATGCAGTTGTTAGTTTAAAACACTCCAAAACTATCTGTTTCCATATAAAGTGTGTGTGTGGAGCCTCATCAAGTTCATTTCCACCCCCACTCTCAACACACACACACACACACACACACTACTAGATAAACAAAGGCTCCCCTGTCTCCTGCTTGGGATTAACCACATGCTGCAAGCCTCTCCAACCCCCCCACCCAATTCTCCTACTTCCCTCATCACATTGACTCTGACAATCCTCCACAGTCACCGACTAACCCACCACGGCCACACTCTCACTACTGCAGCTGCTGCTGCTTTGAGGCAAGGCAGAGGGCTCAAAGTCAATCACTGTTTTAATGATGAAAGCACAAAAACTGGGGCTAAAAAAAAAAAAAAAAGGTCTAAAGAATGAAATGGAAAGCCAAAATATGCACACATGGGGTTCATCTTGGGTGAAATCAGAATTCTCAATGATTTATAAGAATTTTTTTGAGTTTCTTGAAGTACCAGCTGGTTGGAGTATAACAGAAATAGCAATAATGGATATGACTTTTACTTGACAAGGTCACAAAAACAAGGATGGTGCATAAATACGGTGCAATTTAATTTGATTTTAATCTAATCTGATCTGATAATCTTACCGTATAGCAACTTGCTTTGTGCACTCAGTCTAAAAACCCCACGTTATGAACTTAATATCACTGCAGACCGAAACCAAACAACTTGGATATGTTTAGCACAGAAAAAGGCTTGAAAATCAACTTTTTGATAGTGAATCAAGTGTTTTTTTCCTACTTTACAAAAAATCTCAAATACCCTTTTTTAAAATCTAACGTTATTTGAAAGAAAAAATCTTAATTTACCTGAGTAATGGTAGTTGGACAAATGATGAGACTTTGGGAAAATTGGATTCCTCAGCATCAGCATGGACAGAGCAGCCTGAAAAACAAATAACATACCATTAGTGTTTGAAAGTGAATAAACACGGCACAGCAGCTGCACAGCAGTGATTGTTACGAGCCTTTATACAGCCAGTCCCTCCTGCTACACAAAGCCAACTCCTGCTCTATTAGGCGCTCCAATTGTGCTTTTATAGATCCGTAAAACACTCTGAGCCAAAGCGTGAATCAGTTTCTCACAGGTAACTAGGGACTGAGATAACCACTGCTCTCACTTTCCCTGAAAATGCCAGGTATCTGAGGGCTTTATATCATAATTGTACGCGCTCTCTGCCATTGTCAAAATAACAATTAACTTTGTGCTCTTAAAGGAGAAACTGACTGTGCATGAATGCTGGAAGGCGGCAGCTCGAGCCGGCCCGCTGCAGAGAGTGGGCGCTATGACAGCCCCCTCCCCCTCCCCTCGTGGTTTCCTTGACAACGTTGGACCACTGCTGGTCGCTAGGGCCTGAAATCGTAACCACCAGCATCATAAAGCACACTGACAGCTCTACTACTACACTGCAAGACAACTTCTGCTTCAGTAATGGAAGTATTGATTTAAGATCTGCATTAAAGTCACTGTAATGAAGTGCAACGTAATGCGCAATGCAAAGAGTCTTCCTCTGCTGATGAGTATCATACATAATTACCATACCATCATCAGTCACATCCTCTTTAAATTGTCTTTACACTAAGCCCATATCAAGTGTGACAGAAGAACACACTTGTGTATTTCAGGAAACAGTGACTGACATTTAGCATTGTTTTTAAAGTCAATATATATGAAAAAGTCACTGGATGTTCAGTTGCTGGGAATTTAATGGGGTTGATATGGTGGGTAAGAGCCACTAGAGATGCTGCCTCCTCAACATTTAACAGCAACCACTCTTTGACCTCATTACAACAAGCGCAGAGTCTATTATTTCTCACACAAACACTGAGGTTTGGTGTGTTTTATGTAAATGTTTTATTATTCTGCTGTTGAACGCAGCTGTGAAAGTTGCGTTTCAGTCGGTGGCTTACATGTTGCAGTATCAGCACTGAAATCTTCACTAGATCGATCTGTTCATGTGCTCAGATGCAACTAGTGGTCTGCAGTAAGTATGAGACACAGGATGCACCATAGCTGCAGTGTAGTGGAACACCCGTCTGTCCAGGCAGATTTCTCAGGAACGCCACGCTGAGTGATGGCAAGGTCATAAACATTTATGTCACATGTTGCATTTAAGGCGCTTTTCTCTTGCGAGTAACGCCAAGAAGAATGTGTGAACCTGACAACGTGACTGACAGCCACGGTACATTTTACTGGCCGTGCTGTCTTTTTCTCTGAGCTCAACGTGTGAAACAATGCACTAAAGCACACTCAAAACATAACACTAATCACCTGGGAATGCAGCCAACAATTTCATCAACCACTAAAGATATGTTCACTACCACATATGACAAAGAAAAAAGGCAGATAGCTCCGACTAAGAGCATGAGAGCTATCAAAAATGTGGCACATTTCTTTTAAAATCTCCCTTAACCATTTTATGTTTATCAACTGATTAAATAAATGTTTCAGCTTTACAGCCCCCAGCAGCACATGTACCTCTTAGTGCCTCGATACAGGAGGATCAGTCTGCTTCTGACTAAACGGCCAAACGGTTTTACTATCTCTGTCATCTCAGGCCACCGGGGTTTCAGAACAGAGTAAAGTGAAATTCTACTGATCACTCACTTCCTTTCACTACTCACCAAGTGCTAAAGGCACTGAATGACTACATTAAAAACATGCTCAGCACATGTAAGGGCACTCATCACTAAACCGAACATGTATAAGCAGGCAGTCAGTATATTCTATAATATACAGTAGTGTACTGCATAAATCTCAAAGCAGCACTCATTTTATCTATGAAAAGTAGAGTATTTTTCTACCAACACAGTGATTCCCAATGATTTACTATCCAACAACTTGGTATATCTCAGCATGATGTGCAGTGTGTCTTTAAAATTTTCGAGGAAACTGGACATGTTGAGCACAACAAGAAGAAGTGACAGGCCAACAGCCTACAGAAGATTAATATCTGCCATTCTTCAGGAAGGGAAACGGGAAGAAAAGTCTGAGGTATTCCAAATTACACGAGAACTGGACTGAAAATCAGTGGCAGTAAGTCCTATAAAGTGCTAAATCCAATCTTGAAATCCAAATCAGTTTTACCATACAACACGATCTGATGATAACTGCTTCATTTTTCAGCATTAAAATGATCCCAAACACACTCTCAGTTCCATAAATGCATATGTAGTTTAAAAAAAAAGAAAGAAAAAAAAGACCATGCAATCCTATCAGTAATGAATTGGCCTCCCCAGAGGGGATCATCTTGACTGAGATAAATAATGTTGCAATAAATCACTGCACCCATTTGCCATTTTCCTAGAAAGGTATAATGAAATATTGGGTGGCTCAAGATTTCTGCAGTGCATTTTTGAAATGGTGCTGGTCTATTTTCAGGGTACCGAAGATACAGCTTGACATGTTTTCTGCAGGCAGGATTTAATTATTTTGACAAGGACACATCAGTACAAATACTGATTTTTTTCTTCATTCCTCTGCCTTTTTTCTCCTACACTGAACACGCAGGCAGAATTGTTCACATGAGATTTCAAAATAAAATCTCAAGCAAAATTGCCAAATATTCTAGCTATTTAAATTTTAGTAATTTATTAGTGCATTCTTGTCTGCTTTTGTGCTGCGACAAATATAATTCATTCATTCTGTTACATGGAGCACTGCAACAATAAACGAGCATATAAGAACTATGCATGATGCCTTTGTCTCAAATATGAAATATTACCATTTAACAACTTCTACCGAATGTTACTATACTGTAACACAATATAATCTGTGTGGACTTTATCTGTGATCTGTAAGTGAAAACAGTCTTAAGAGGTAAACAGGTTGGTGTAAAGTGTGAGTGGGCTAGAAGAAAACCTGGCTCGAGTCCGACCACGGTGAAGTACAGCTCCCAGTTATGTTTTTATTATTCACGGTGATCCCTGTTGCAGTCAGTATGGATTGTTCTGTTGAACTCACCATTATGTCCCCTTTGCACTCGTACAGACAATGGTGGGCTAACTCCTGGTTGGTGCCTCCTCCACATAAAACGCTGGAGCAGGCCAAGTGCATGAGGTCTTCCACTGCAAAAGCAAGAGAGAAAAAAATGATTTTGCATACAGTGATGACAATAAGAAAATGTATTATTAAGATGTGCAATACATGGAGACAAAATATGGTTGGTTTCAGTGTTCTGGTATGTTTTTATTATCCATGACTCAACAAAATTACATACTCCAGCTGTTAAATCAATTCCGCAATATTGCAACATTTATATACTATGAATTGAAATTCTTATGAAGAGCCGTTTTTTTTCTTTAAGGCCACTTTCATTTATCAAACCTTTCACTGCACCACCATCTGCGTGCCATTATATAAGCTTTCGGTTTCACTTCATATTCTCAAAAACTCTCAGGTAGTGACTCACCTTTCTCCTCAAGGTCAGGTTTTCCTTCCAGATCGCACAGGGGAACCCAGACCAGTTCTGCACGATGATGATCCTGCTCGACACCAGATCGCTGCCTCAGCTCTGGTACTTCCGCCTGGTACCGTGAGCCAATATTTATGCGTCTGGGAACAGGACATCAGTTTTAAAAACAAGGCAGGAGGTGTTTGATCTATTTAAAATTCATCGACTCTTTCTGCATTCACGAGGCATTTATTCACTCTTAAATATTTTAGCGAAGACAGCATTTGCTTTATGAGTATCAGTATCAAGTTGCACTTTACAGTAAAGCTCGTGTTGTTTCTGAGAACATTTTTATTTTCTTTGCTCGTCTGTTATATTCTTTAAAAGGTCACAGAAAAATTGCTGAGGCGCTCCGGCTCTGAACATTGCAGCTCTTGTACTGTTAACCCAGCTGAACTGATGGTCTGGATTTAGCAAGAAAAAGAACAAAACCATGCAAAAATAAATGTGAATCAGATACAGTTCTTTAAAAGCTTACATATCAATGCAAACCAGATATCTCAGTGTGAAAGTTGTGAAAATTATGCTGTCAACAGATAGAGCTAGGATATCCCCTCCCTCCCTTGCATTTCCAGAGAAACTGCTGTGTACCCAGCTGAGTGTGTGTGTGTGTATACTGGCAGCCTCCCCCAGAGAAAGTGGGCTACTAAAACTTGACCTGCAAAGGCTGTTCTGCGTTTGAAAGCACACCAGATCCAGCTGAAAACATGATTTATGGGAAGCCTCCCTAGCTCGTCCCTGCCTAACATCTGAGCAGCTGGCATCAGTGAAGCAACAGCTTGCACAATGCACCCCCATAAACTGCAACTCGTCGTTGATGCAACTACAAAAAATGGATTTTCATACACACCCAGCTATCAGTGGCTTTGTTTATTCATGGAGTAACTGCTGACTTTATCTAGGAATGCATTTAAGGTTGTAATTCTTTACATTTTCATTACAACATCTACTTTCACTAGTTCTCTGGAGTGGCCATTCTATACATTTACATTCAGTAAATGCATAACGTTCAATAGAGTAGTTTTCACTAGCAGCTGTAGTGTATGCCATTCTCACCCTGGATTAGGGTCCTTCCATCTAGGATCTTACCATATACAACGCTCACAATCTATTACTCATTCTAGGCATTTCTTTTCCAACAGCAGTCCTTTTTTTTAAGTTTTTGATTAAATGAGATTGTATAATATTGTTTCTTTGTATTTATAACACAGTAAGTGCAACCAGTGAGCATCCTTAAAGCAAAACAGGTAGCCCCGCTTTACTATCAGTAACGGCTACATGTGCCCATTCTAATCACTTTCCAACTCTGCCAAAACTTTAAATAACATTTGCATATCACACTGAAACCAGGTTTCATGTACACCTTAAAAAACGCGATGTTCTAGTGCGACATTGGGCCACATAGTTGATTCAAAGAGACAACTTCTGGTAATAATGTTAGCTGTGGATGACAGAGCAAAAGAATTTAGTGGTAACTGTGGTGAAGGGGGAAGCTGCATTAAAAGACGGGATTAGAATTTCAAGAAGTCTATGTTCTCATTCTAGACGTTTCATAATTCAATTCACTGTTATGCTTTGAATAATTCATTGTAGCAATATAATTCCTTTCAAAATAGCACTTAACCTCTAAACTGATCGTACAGGAGAAATACTCACGGCTCATTGCTGACCGGAGTGGCCTCGCTCATAGCAGACAAAACTGGTGGTGTGATGTCGCAGCTGTCTAAGGGGGCAGCAAAACACACACATAACGCACTCACTCCAGCAACAACAAAGACACAGCACAGGAGTACACTAATATGCAGTCCGTCAAAATTCTAATATATTTAAAAAAAATAAAAAATAAAAAAATAAATAAATAAATTGTACCTGGTCTTACATTCAGTTTTTTATGGGGAACTACAGCAAGGTGCTTATTACAAGTGCACAAAACTTTGATCCAAAGGACATCTAAACTGGAAATTCATTCAATCGAGTTTTATAAACTTCCTTTTTACTTACTAGATCGCAATAGGCTGCGTGTGGCTGACTTGGGTGTAGCGGGAGGGGGCAGGCCTGGGCCACTGGCCAAAGCAGATGACAGGAAAGTGGAGAAGTACAGGCCGGTGCCTTCACGAACAGGGCTGAGGATCGGCGGTGGTGTATAGGGGGGCATGGTGATAGCATTGTCGGCGAGGCGTACGGGGGAACGTAGGTGGCTTTGGTAGGGTGTAATGCTGGAGTAGACGGGCGGGGCGATGAATAAAGGTTTAGGTGGCGGGATGAAGAGAGGCTCAGGGCGTGGACGGCGTTTGGACTTTTTGCCATCGTCGTCTTTTTCACCCTCTGCGCCATCGTTCTGGGAAGGAAGGAAAATTTTATTTTAAGAGGTGAGGTTATAGCAGAAGTTTTTGTGTCTCAAATTAAAAACATGCAAAAAAAACCAAAAAAAACAATTATACACAAAGTTGGTTTAGTGACTGTAAACGCCTCAAAAAAAAAAAAAAAGAAAGAAAAAAAAGAGAGAGAACAGGGACCCCAACCCTCAAATCTTAGGTACATAATGTACAGTATGGCAGTGCTAAACCCTGCTAATCTGCCTGATCTGGGACAGGGCAAAGAGTTCACCAGCTATACCCCCTCCACCCAAATAAATGAGAGAAAGGGAGAAAAGGGTACAGGACGAATATGGGGGCAGGGAACGCATGAAGCATGGCTGGGGGAAGGGAGAATGTGTTCATGGGTGGGACAATGTGGAATAAATTCAAGGATTTATAGTTGGAATTAAAAAGAAAAAAAAAACCAAATGTATATAAAAGCTGGGACTCCAGTCTATTCTCCCTAACTGCATGGAGAGTCCCATGCAACTTCCCTCTGAGATTTTGGTGAATGAGTTCTGCATATGAAAGTGTGTTTTAAGTGTAGAAAAAGCAAAACCAGCAAGAATTTCACGTGTATCCACCTGCTCTGCACTGTCTGACAAGGAGTTCCTCAGTGAGCGTCTTCGGGTGACGATGACCGAGGGCTTGTGGTCTGCGCGCCCGAGATCCTGGGAGTTTGAAGACCTGTGAGGCCAGTTGGTTGCCAGACTTGCTTCGTCACTCTCGGGAGACGAGGGTTCCTGCCTCCGGACTGGAACAGACACGGGGATAACAAGTGGAACAAGGTTGTCGTCTCGAGGTCGCTTAGGGTTCATAATCTCTTGTTCTGTGGGACTCCATGGCCTGTGTGGCTCCTAATAGAGATGAAAATTCGTTATTGCAATGCTCTTTATAAATGGTTTTCTTTTAAAGCATATGACATATCAAAAAATTATACCCATACTAAATGAGTTCTACTGCCTACTCAATAGTATTTAAAAAAAAAAAAAAAGCTAATCTGACTCCTCAAACAACAACACTGTAGACTAAAGACTCACCAGAAGCAACGAGCAAAAAGGCCAAGCAATTAAATCAATTGCCTATAAACAACATCTGTAAACAATGCCACTGCCTACCAACTCCAAGGAAGAGTAGCTTTGTTTTCCAGCTTAGCACACCCCAGTAAATAGATCTGATTAACAGGATGGGTGTTAATTCAGCTGAACAGGCTGCCGAACTCTAATCAGTACAATGAACTGGAATCCCACTAAACAACAATTAAATCAATACTCAAACAGATGCAGGCACCAATCACATTGGGGGAAAAAAAAAAAAAAAAAAAAAAGCACAAGAGAAAGTGAACAGCTGTGGAAAGAAAATTTTCAAATGTCAGAATTTGAAATATAATAATGTCTCACTCTCAGCCCTTTCACTATCGTATTTTACTGCTAGGTGCAGCACTTTAGTGACATATTTAACATGCACTTCGACGGAACAACCCCCAAAGGCATTCTTCACAGTTTTTTTCCTTCGACAAACCATAATGAGTGGGCCCGAGCAGCCTCTGTGCCACGATCAACTGAGGAACAACTTCAAAGCCATTTAAACGACCACATTATAGGACAGCTGAAGGCAGATGCATGCCGTCTCTGCACGCTGCATCTTCATGGTTAGAAAGGCATGCAGCACTGTGGCTAAGCTGGAGCAGCTCTCATTATTGCTGGTGGAAAACTCCAGCCCTTCCACCAGAGTGGTGGAGAGATATTCTGCTGAGCACTGCAGGCAGGCAGGACAACCCTGCACCCCTCCCTGTATAGATAAAGGGGGGAGGGCAGGCTGGAGTTTCTCTGCTTTGAAGGGGAGGGCGTGCAAGCATGTAACTAAACACACTGCCTGTACAAGCAGCTAACTGTGAGGGAAATTCAGGCCAAAGCCATGCTTAACTATAGACGTACTGACTCAGCACTGTTTAGCAACAGCATTTGTTGCACAATAAAGACATTCAGCACATAAACACAGATAATTGTATGACTTTGCATGGTACAGTCAGGGTATAATATCAGGTTTGTACATTTAACAAATCCTGTGAGAGGTGTAAAGTCATACATTGAGGCTTTCCTAGAGCACATTTTACCCCAATTTAATATTTGCTATGTAAAGTTTTGTCTTAGCTGCAGATTTTCCCCACAGGGCAGAGCTGAGCAGTTTACTTTTGCGGCGTACACTTCACTGGGCTCTGATTACATTCAGCATCTCTTCCAGCAACACGTTAATCACCAACAACACAACTTTTGGCACAGTTTTCCTGGCAGGGGCATTTGTCCCAGTTCCCACTCTTGCTCTGGGAGTAAAAATCCCAATGCAATTATACCCTGGGATAACGCTAGAAACCTAGACTTCCAGCTCTCACCGAAATATTTGCAATTAAGGCTTCCAGCTTGTAGCGACAAGTTTAGATTTAAACAGCAGTGCAATCACTCAGATTCAGAACATTCTGTCCTTTTACATCAATACTTGTTTCTGCTGTCCTTATGCTTGATAGAAAACAGCTGAGAAGCAGATGAGTGGGCAAAACAACATGGAAAACAGAAAGGCACATAAAAGCAAAGGCAAGGGGGGAAAAATAGCTGCATTGCCAGTTTCCAAATGAAATTATGCATTTACCTTAAGATGTGATGGTGGAGACTCCCTTTCTGAGGCCTTCTGAGCAAGCATCTCCAGGTTGACCTCCTGGGAAACCCTGCGTTTCCTGCGTGTGCTTTGGATGACACCTGTCGGGGCTGCCTGGATGTCTCGTGACCCGTTCTGCGGTCCCTGAAGCACTGGTGCTGACTGCTCCAAGGGGACAGGCAGGAAGGGATTGTCCGAAGGCGCGCCGCCCTCCTTGGAGAGCCGTCGAGATCTGCGAAGCTGCGTTTGGGATTGAGGCTGCATCTGAGGCTGCGACTGAGTCAGGTGCTCAGACTGCAGAGGGGGCTGCAGCGGGTCTGATGGCTGCTGTGGTTCTGGTGTGATGTCCTGGATGATTGGTTCCTGGATCTTTGGCGGTGCTGGACCAGAGGACTCGTAGGAGTGTACCACAACGGGCTGGGGGTGAGCGTGAGGGTTTGCATTTTGCACACCAGGGTAATAGTCAAGCACATGGGGGTTTTGTTGTTGCAACTGCTGATGCTGCATTTGCTGAATTTGGAGCTGTTGCTGCTGCATCTTTTGTTGCTGCTGCTCATGCTGTATTTGTTGCTGCTGCTGTAGCTGTTGCTGCACATGTTGTTGGTGCTGAAGGATTTGTTGCTGCTGCATTTGTTGCTGGATTAGATGTTGCCGTTGTATTTGTTCTTGCTTCTGCAGCTGTTGTAAATGATGTTGGGATTTTGCATTCTGTGCCGAGTAGTTTGGAGGGTTAGGTAGAGTTGTCTTGTTACCTTGGAACGTCTGGTAGTAGGCAGGCAGGTGCTGCTTGGGCTGACCAAAGGCCAACTGGAAGGACTGCAGGACTGAGCTTCCTCCTGGGTGGGATGTGCTCTGCTGCTGGGTGTTGATCACCCCGGATTTTAAGGTGTCCTGAAAAACTTGCGGCTGCTGCTGCTGTTGCTCCCACTCCATCCCCCGAGACTTGCCTACATCCCTGAACACTTCCACTGCAGGTTTGTCTGCAGCTCTGTTAGGGGGTTGTTGATGTGGCTGCAAGCCAGCGGTCTCTTGCATTGACTTCACAAATACATTCTGGGTCCTTGAGTCAGTTACTCCTCCAATATAACTTGGAAAGTTCTGCCCCCAGTGAGGCATGGTGGTCCAAGGTGCAGCTCTCGACTGCTGCTGATTGGGCTCCTGGTGAGCCCACTTCATGGGTACAGTCTGCTGATAATGACCCCTGCTGTGGTCGCCCTTATCTGGGCTGAAGATGACAGAGCTGAGGTACATATGAGGGCCCTCTGGATTGGATGTCACAGTACTTGCAGCCTCACTCTGTCCAGGCTCTGAAACATTACCACTCGCCACATAGTAGGACCCATCTGGGTGCTGAGAAGTCTCCTTCATTGCTACACTTTGATCGTTGAAAAATGTGATTCGTTTGCCTGTTCTTTTGGCATTAGGTTTCTGCTGCGCCGGTACGCTCATGACGGGCATGAATATTCCGAGGCAGGTAAAAATTTTCAGTCAGCTAAAGTGATAATACTCCACTTGAATGTATCAATCCAGCAATCAAAGATGGGAATATACACGTATACCCTTTTATAGGGAATGTACAATAAAATAAACCAGTAAAAATCACACTGACATCAGAATAAGCAGGAGCCAGGTTGAACAAGGTTATCGTCTATCCCCTCTGAAGTTCTTTGTGACCTAGTCACAGGTTGTCAGCCGGGAGCGAACAGATATGAAGACGTTTGTGTGTTTTTCTCATTCATGGACAACACCCTGTAGAGAAAATGAGACAGATGTCAAGCACTGAGCTATCAGTCTAAAGGGACTCTCCCCACTGGAGGGTCTCATTAACATCCCTGACTCAATCATTTAAAAACCTGTTGTTTGCTTTTTCAGCAATAGACCTCGACCGAAAAGCATGGGTGTGAGAACAGAGCATGCGAGGCGCCTATTCACAAAGCTCATGTGACAAAGGGATGATGTCCTACATGCAGGCTAGCATGTATACAACCAGACGTGTGTAGAAAACTGGAACCAAAATAAGGTAGTTGAGAGAGACAGCCAAATCAATAGTTCCTGGAAATGTTACACAGGATATTACTGTGCTGCATTTAATCAGCAATGAAACAAAAACAAGCACTGTGGGAGAAAAAAAAAAGAAGCATAATTGTACATTGTGCCACTGCTTTATCACCATTATCAAACAGCACACGTGATCTTTGAATAAAAGGAAGCTCCCTTTCCCGCGTAACAGACGGCGGACTCAAAGTGATAGAAACCACTTTTTTTTTCCTTTTTCTCTTACAACTCAGTGACTCATCAAAGGGAAAAGAAGGGAACCCATGCCCTTTGAACCACGGCCGGAGACTCGAAAAAGAAGGGCAACTGAAAGTGAGCAAAGATGAGTCAGTATGAAACTATCTATGCAAAGGGGGGGAGCAAGGAAAAAGTCAAAATGGCCTTGAAGGCTTTTTTTAGCTTATGGAAAGATCTTGACAATTGCTGGTAACCCATTATTAAAATATTATCTGATGTCCGAGTTTCAAAACAGATTCTGGCACAGTCCAGTTTGCCAAAAACATCCTGGCTGCTCCTGTTAAAATTTCAAATCAATTCTCTGTCTGTGTAAAACAAAACAGACCTTGTGCAACACTAAACAACTTCAAGAGAAAAGCATTACAGCTTTGTAATCACTGCACGGCTCGTGTTGCACACCAACAATTTGGTAAGATGATTACATAAATGAACATGAGAATCTTTACAGGATGGCCTTGCCAAAGGTCCTTTCTGACAACATAGGAAGTGACTGACAATTGTCACCCTTTACTCTGGTGACCTGGTAAGACACACACACACACACACACACACACACACACACACACACACACAGCTTAAAATAGAAAGCTGCAGCTGTTCAGATCCTGCACTCTCTGCGAGACACCACTGACAGAGTAAAGTGAATCGCCACACTATGTGGGCTAAGAAGCTGTTTCTGCATCAGTAGCAACACAATGTGCTGCTACACATGCATGCAGACACGTTGTCAAACTCTGACACATCCACTACGAAAAGCTGCACGTTTCTTGCAGGATGATTAAAATAAACAAGTAAATAAAGAAATAATTAAATAAAAACGGTTAAGGTTGACCATGCCGAGCATTAACCGCACCATCTGAGGTAAGAGATCATCATGACGCATCACAAGTGCAGCCTTACACAAGCCTGGGGTTTAGCCCAATATACAAACTAACACGTTAAATGGCTTAAAATAAATGTCAAGCACCATTAGCCGCCCTAATCCATCGCCATTTCCTAATTCAAAATCAGCACTAGCGCTCACACATACACACACACACACACACACACACAATACGCGGCCTGCACAAATAAAGAAAACGCAAGAACACTCAACGTGTTGCCCTGGACCCACTCCCTCCACATCACTTTCTGTTTCCAGCCTGTTTTACGAGAAGCCCTTTGTTGCAGAAAACGGATTATCTACTCACTAATGCCATGTCCCATTGCAACAAACCGAAGCAACAATGCAGCTCCCCGTGACGAGAGAGGAAAGAAAGTGTGGTGGCACGGCTAACAGACAACGCTAATCGATTCAACTTGTCAAAAAAAATTAATACGTCACGTTTCTTTCTATGTATTTTCGTTGCGATCCGCGTTCACTGGCACGTTAAACACGTCGCACAGGGCGAGCGGTAAGCCCCGCATGGAGCTCCGATCTGTCGACCGCCCAGTCCGCCACGGGCGAGGTAAACAAAACTTTGTCAGCAAGCCGTGGCCACAATAACGCGCAGTGTCGACCGTATCAACAACGCCACAGTCATCGACAGCGTGGCTCCGGCCCCGTGTTCCCCGATACTTACTGTGTTTGTCATGAAAGCTGCTACTAACGGCAGCTCAGCCCGCAGGATCGCACACTCGCAGCTCTGTGCGGCCAGCAGCGGCAGCAGGCCCGCACAATGCACTCCTGCGATGATGACTGCATATATCCCCGAGGTTGACTCATGCTATGTTGCTGACCTCACTCACTCACTGCTACTTTTCTTCCCTTCACCTCCCCTTACAAAGAGGGAAAATTTGTGGAGAGACAGGGGAGAGAGGAGGGGGTGCGCGGGTCAACCTCGCTGCGTAAACAAGAGTCCTTCCCGATAGGAAACGGGGTGCTAATCTGGAGAAACGTGAGCGCAGTGATGCCGCTGTCTGTTGCACATTATTGCACGATGATTGCACTAAAAACATACACACTGGCAATGCGGCCTATTTGCTCTGAGCGTCTCTGTTCGTCTTGTGATTTCACCCCTCCCTTAACCCAGCCACCAACCCAGCCCTCCAACACCACCAGCGCGCTGGCCACACCCACTTCCCTGCCCAAATAAGGGGTTTCCTTTGACATGCAAGGCGCCGTAATTTACGGAGCAAGATCCTTCTCAGTCCATGCGGGAAATTCCAACACACATGGGAGGACCGACGGTCTGAAGGGGAAGGACGTTCACTTTCCTTTCACTGCATTCACACTTCTTGTTTGCTTTCTATTGAATATTTTCTCTGTGAAATCTATGTGTAATGTTTACACGTGGAAACAGCAGACGGAAGATTGTTTCTAGAGGCAAATGCAGAAAGGCCCTTGAGGGTGTGGGCACAGAAAGTGTTTATAACAAGGGTTGTGTGATTTAGTTTTCCATATAATAATGTGAAACAATGAAATGCTACTTCATAGGAATCACACTGTCTTCAATTCAATGGGATATTTTCATTACCTTAGGAAACATTGCGAAATGCACGCCCAATTTCCTGACAAAATACAGATAAGGACAAAATCTCCACACTGAATCATAGACTGCAGCCAGAGCATGTAAGGATTTCTAAATGAAAAACAGCTTAAATGGCTATCCAAATAAGTAAACTGTGAAAATAAACGTGGAACAGAGAAATGAGATATACTCTAAGTAGAAATTGGCAGTTTCACAGATAACTAATAAGAGGAAGCACACAGGTGCAATTAAAGGAATGCACTAATATAACAGCTGACTATCTGTATGCTCGGCCTGATTATCCAATGGGCATTCTGTGCAAGTACCCAGGGGCCTCCACCACTTCCATCTCCTCTAACTGCCAGGGGCACACCTAGGCATTCCCAAGCCAGCCTAGAGTAATCTCTCCAGTCTCTCCAGTGTGTCCTGGGTCTGCCCTGGGGCCTCCTCCTAGTGGGACATGTCTGCAAAACCACCTCAACTGGCCCCTTTTGATGTGGTAAAATAGTGGCTCATCCTCATCCGATCTCTTAAGGCCGAGCCCGTGCACCCTTTGGAGGAAGCTAATGGAAGTTTTCATTTTTTGCTCAACCAATTCAGCAAGCTAACAAGAGGATAGCTGTAGCAGCACCTCACAATTGCAGTGGATTTATAATCTGAAACTGTGGTTGGATCTAAATGAAGAAGCCAGGCTGCTTTCACCAGTGGAAGGCCTGCCGAACCTCACAAATGAAGAAGCAAGTATCCAGTGAATATTTTATACCTGCATCATTATTATTATGTCATTATTATTATTATTATTATTATTGTGACAAGCAAAAAAAAGAACTCCCTTTGTACAAGTAGACACATCTCAAATCTGTGCTTTTCCCAAGAAGAGCTCTATCTAGTGAACAAGTGCAACAGATAGTGATATTGGCAAGTGGTGCTGACAGGAGGAAAAGGAGGAGATCATCATGGAGACAAAGAGACAGAAAGAAGACAACAACAGGTGTGTGTGTGTATGATGACAATGACATTATTATTATTATTACTATTATTATTATTATTATGAGTATTATTTAAAAACAAAAGTGAAAGAGCCCTGACTGCTTGCGCTAAATTTTAGCAAAACTGTATTGTGGTGTTCTCTATTCAGAACTATTCTTTGTACATGTATGTACACATTCATGTCAACCATCCACCCCTTTTCTGAACCATATCACAGTTGCAGGGGGTCTGAAGCCTATATCAGCTGACTTTGGACTTCAGTGAACTGAAACAATTCAATAAACCAAAAGGGGTGTGGGTGTTTTTTCACCAATGTGCATAGCCTTTTTTCATATGTGTAAAGGATCAAATTAATTACGGCTGCATCCTTTAATTTCTACTACAACACTGGGCAAGATCACGGCAGTGCAGGCCTGTAGTCTCTCCTTCTTCTCTGTGGATCTCAAATTACTTGACAGGACTCACCAATATAAGTTTTCAAGGTTTATGGCTGTAACATTTGGTTGATTAATGGAATAGTCATTAATGTTTGAGGAATCCAGCTCATTATCTGGATTCTGGATTTTCTGGAAACAGTAAGAACAAAGTGCAGAAAAGGAAAGCATGAAATCACAAGAAAACAAGCATCTTCCCTCTGTGTGCTGACATTTTAAAGCCCACATTCTTAATCAGTACAGTAATCTAATCTACCATGTACACAACAGAAGAGGTTTCTAAAAAGTGCACATAAATGTCACTGTAAATGCTGACACGCTTTTGCAACGACTGCCCAAAACCGATGCTTCTCCTTAATAAAGTCACGTTTTAGCACGTCGCCACATTCCAACCTAACTTACAAGTGTCACTGTTTACGTAGGAGGGACTTTTCAGATAAATGTGACATCGCTGGTATGAATGGTAGTCTGGGGGCTTTCTGGGATTTTTACAACTCGCGTTTGTGAGAAGGACGTGGGTTGAAAGAAAAAACAAAACAAAAAAAACAAACAAAAAACAAAACAGGGGTTAGATCAAAGCTTGCTGTCTAGTAATGACACATTAATAGCTTCCCATTTAGCATTCGCCTTCATAAACAAAATACTTAGCAGCATGCAAAACAGCCCTTATGCAGTAACGGTACTTACATTAAACACTGCCCTTCCATGGCACATAAGCCTTCATCATCTCGCTGTTTCGACAGCGCCCCGCTGCACCTAATCCTGACGGCATGCTAGAATAGTGTAACGGTAGCGACTGATTTAAGCATCAAACTTTTTTTTCCCCTCACCAGGCGTCACTTCCCCAGTCCTACTTTGATTCAGTTTTAGCTAGCAGTCGATGGTGCAACGGGACATTAACAGTGAATGTGTAAATGTCAAACGAACTATGAACTGCTAAAATGTTAATTAGCTGCAGTGTTGATAAACTCGACTGTAATAAAATGGGGCTGTTGAGGCCGCGTACCGTTTATGTCTTAACGGCTCAACGGCACCTAGTTTATCACAGTTTATCACAGGCAAGATAGTAAACCCCCGCTGCACCGGAACATCGGTTGAATAATGTCGCACTTTCATTCAGGTATCTCAAGTTAGAGCTTATATTATTTCAATATATACTGCATTTTAAAAAAAAGAATGAATTACTAGCAAATCTAAATGTAGACAAAACTTCTAAAAAACACACACACACACAAAAAAAAAAATCCACCAACCCTAAGCAGTCAGCCTCGCGGGATTTAAACGAACACGGACTTGAGCAGCACGGAATTCTCTCGCTCTTGTGGTCGTGACTTTCTTCGTGGTCTCTGTTGACATTCTGCTAGCCTGCAAACTGATAACAAGAAACCTGTTCGGTAATATAAGCCGTTGGATATCTTCACGTGTTGCTACGGTAAAATACTTTGTCCACATTGTTTTCTCTAACACTGTAACCGAGCCCACCGCTCACAGAAACTTAACGTTTGCTGCCTGTTTTAGTCATTGCTACGAACTCAACCTCGGTGCTCGCGATATTTCAGTGAGATGCAGGTGCAAAGAGTCGTTCTTAACTCACGACCAGGTGTGTAACATTTTTACTCTCCTCTTTTATCGTGTTCTGCACCTTGAGTTTTTAAGTCTTTAATACAGTAACTGATACTGCACCATTACTGCAATCACGTGGCTAGTGTTTACTCAACCTTCTATTTTTGCATACAGGTAAAAACGGGGCGCCAGTTCCGGAAAATTTCCGCCTGGAGGAGATTACTTTAGCACCTGACCTGAAAGATGGGGAAGTTCTTGTTCGGACGCTTTATCTTTCAGTCGACCCTTACATGGTATTAATACAAACACATGACATTGATACAGCAACAGCAGGCATCAGTAATGACCTTTAGCATTTGCTGTCTGGAGTAATTAAACGTTGTAATTAAAATTAAAGACTACAGCACAGTAAAGTAACTACTTGTGTTTTGTTTTTTTTAACTCCCACTAAAACTCTTTCCCTGTCAGCGATGTAGAATGAATGAGGACACCGGTGCTGATTACCTGACTCCATGGCAGATTTCCAAGTGCGTGGATGGTGGAGGTGTGGGACTGATTGATTCCAGCCGCTGCAATAATTTTGCTGCGGGAGATGTGGTCATTTCATTCAACTGGCCTTGGCAAACCCATGCTGTTATGACCGGAAGTGACTTACAGAAGGTCTCTGTTGCTGTGTGTCACCACTGTTTGGTGAACAGGGTCATATTTCCTCTTGCAGACAGGAAGAGGAAACCTTTCTTAATGATATGTATATAAAAAAAATTACACTGTGTTCTGCAAATGTGAAGGAACTGATTCATACCCTGTGTTTGCAAAACACACTGACTAAAAGCAGCTTACCTGCTACAGTATGTATGCTGATGTCACTCAGGTTTTGGTCTCTTTGCAGGTTGATCCACAGCTGGTTGATGGACATTTGTCCTACTTTTTGGGTGCAGTTGGAATAACAGGTCTCACTGCCTTACTGGGTATCAGAGAGAAGGGTCACATAACCAAAAGAGCCAATCACACGATGGTAGTAAGCGGCGCAGCTGGTGCCTGTGGTTCCATAGCTGGGCAGGTAAATGCAACAAGTACCCGATAGTTTAGTGTATTTTGTAGACATTAAACTATCTGAGATGTTGGAAAAATGCGCTAGACTTCCATAAAATTGTAGATCTATTGCTCTGCTTGTTTTGTTTTGTTTTGTTTTTTCCCAGATTGGCAGGTTGGATGGATGTGTGAGAGTGGTGGGGATCTGTGGTTCTGATGAGAAGTGTAAAGCTATAGTGGAAGATTTGGGTTTCTCCACAGCCATCAACTATCACCTGGAAGATGTCCCGACGAGGCTTAAGGAGAGCTGTCCTGATGGCATTGATGTTTACTTTGACAACGTAGGGGGTGCCATTAGTGATGCTGTTATAGCACAGGTACTCTGCACAAGTGTTCTCCTGCACAAAAACATAGGAAGGTGACATAAGGTTTTAAGAAATGCAGGCACATGAATTTTTTATATATTTAATAATTTGCATTTTATTTGACACTGACAAAAAATCTTTATGTAACTCTCTCTTGAAAAGACATTTTAAACCTCAATCAGAATTTTATTTTTTTTTATCTCTTATTTGCAACTATAGGGTTAATTATAGGCTTCTTAATCCAAATGAGCTTTTGCAAAGGCTAGGTGAGTTTTGTATGCCTGTAACTGAGGAGTGGTCTTCCTTGCCTGACCATAAAGACTCCCATCCCCCTTGTAAAATTTTCTCTGCAGTGTCTGTTTTGAGAACCATGAAAACTGGAGTTGCTGGTATTCTGCAGAATATCCTTGGTTTTGTTGTGTGGGTTACAGTTGGCCTGCTGTGAGCTGAGGTGTCCCCTTAGGTATTCTAACGGAGCCTTTTCCATTCTTGATGGTGTGGAATACATTGTTAACAATGCTCTTTTCTGGCATCAGGAACTTTGAGTCACTTGGATATGGTTTTGTAGCCTATGGCATTCTCACGCGCATTTAAAACACATGACCGGAGATCCACACCTAATTCTTTCTTCTTACATTCTGGCAGATGTCCTAGTACTGACCATGAACTGAGAGTGTTTATACCAATTCACTTCAATTTATAGCCCCCAGGAATGCTTTAGAAATCAACATGGCTTGGATTTGTTTAAAATTGTAGAGACATCTGGAAAATACTGAGTGTACTCAAATACTGCACAGTAAACAACAATTGGCTTAATAGTGAGGCAGGTATTAATCATTTTGGAAAGGGTTAAAAATGCATCTGGAAACTTCCATCACAACTATATTTTGCTGAATATCGGCAAAATATAACCAGCCAAGCTTTTATGTCGAAGAGACTCATAAAGGAATGAATTTTTCATAGGGGGATGAATCATTTTTGGGAAGTAAACGGTTTGTACTGTAAAAGAATAGTGTTGGACGTGATGGCTGTAGGTGTAACAGTGAGTGTTTTGTGTGCTGTAAGCTCAACTTGACACATCGACTTGCACTCATCTCCAGATGAACAACGGCAGCCACATAATCCTGTGTGGTCAGATCTCACAGTATAACAAGGATGTGCCATATCCACCACCTCTGAGCGAGGAGACTCAGAAGAACCTGCAAAGTAAAAATATCACCCGGGAACGTTTTACGGTGCTAAACTATATGAGCAAAGCAGACGCTGCCCTGTGTGAGCTGAGCCAGTGGATTAAATCAGGTCGAATCAAGGTACAGAGGAAATGGTGATGCTGTGTGGTTCACTGTATGGTTCACTGTATAAGCACCTTTGCAAATTGCACGCTTCATCTTTGTCTTTGTTTTCATCGCTTTAATCTTGCTTTCACTCTTCAGGTTCTGGAAACTGTGGTGAATGGTATAGAGAATATGGGAGGTATTTATGAATTTCAACATTTTTGTAATTTTATAAGTTGTTGTGGGCAGTTTCATTTTTTTTTCCTTTTCTTGCAGATGCATTTTGCTCTATGATGAAAGGCGGAAACATTGGCAAGCAAATCATAAAAATATCCCACTGAAGAAAATCACCAGTGTTTCCAGTGGAGGCTGCGCTCTCACCACTCACCATGGGAAATTAACCTTACTGCTGCCTGTTATCTCTGCCATTAAGTTACTTAATGAGCTGCAGTCAAAATATTGCGCTGATTAACCGAGGCCAGCTAATTGCAACTGAATTATAAATAATAAAATCTAGCAATCGAACAAGTCTTCAGTTTTTAATAAGAGTTTGTTTAGTCTTTTGGAAATTGGTGCAGCAGTGAAAGAAATGTAGAGCAGTGTTGCAGTACTGATACATGATATTAACTTAAAAATCATAGTCTCTTAACGGTGCCGATGTGGGATAAAACCTGGAAATTCTCTGCTTTAGTATAGCAAAATTAGCAGGGCTTTTTCTGTTTTACTCAAAGTTACTGGGTACACTCAGGTCATAATGGGATGGGCATGATCAGTAGCTATACTTGGGTAGGCTAAATGAAGAACATATCCTCCATACCATTAACAGACCAGGTAACATTTTTCTAATCTGTTGTCCAGTTTTGGTCAGTAGAAAATCAATTAATAACATTATTTGTTGATGCCATCAGTTTTAAGCCACCCCTCATTTCTTCATATTTTGCTAGGAAAGTGGGAAATAAGTGGTTTCCAATATAGTGTGTTTGAGATCAGTGTCATGCTGAAAAATGAAGCCGTTGCTATCAGATGCTTTCCAGGTGGTATTGCATGGTGGATCAAATTCTGACTCTTTATTTCTATGTTCGTAGTTGCATTAATTTTAACAAGATATCCAACAACACTGGTTGAAATGCAGCTTGAAACCATGATGGGGCTTTCACTGTGTTTTACTGATGGCTGTAGAGACACTGACCTTCTCACGAAATGATTATTTAAACCAAAAATGCCAAATATTACTTTATAACACCAATCACTGCACAGATTTTCACTTTGGTACTTGTGTAACTTGCATACATCAACCTTTTCTCAGTTTTCCTTCTTAAAGGATGGGTTCTTTCAGCTCTTCCACCAAGACAGTTTCTGAAAATGGCCTTTCGCGTTTCACATAAATGAATGTTGTGAATGAATTGTGTTCTTCCAGCAGGTTGCTAGTAACAAAGTGTCTAAAGATGTGTTCAGCTCTAAGGAATGGACTGAGAATGAATAAAACCTTATAAAAACCTTCAGAAAGCCTAGAGAACTATTGCTCAAGCCCACTTTAAAAATGACAAAAACACATGTTGGACACAAAACATAAATAAGGGGTGGCTCAAGGGTTTTTCCCATTATTGCATACAGTATGTTTTTTAAATCTGTCTTTTTCACTGTTTTGCCTCCGTGTTCCCTTCTGTGTAACATCATTTGGAAATGAATGAATCTATACAAAGTTATTTACTATAATGAACATTTTTATTTCACAGCACTAGAAACCATTAATAAAATAAAATAGTGGTCGGCTCTAATTTCAGTTGTCACAAGAAAAATATGTGGCAGGTGTAAAATCCTCATCTATTCAATCATATGCTTCAGTGTTTGAACACATTACAATATACTCCTTGTAAGAGCTGAAATGGTTGTGGAGGCATTGTCAGTTTTTCTTGTGTAAAGTACAGAACAATCACATCCAGACTCATTATTAACCATAATCATTTAGTGGCATTAAACTAATAAACCCGTCTTTTAATAAAAACACAGTTCTGATGCTTTGTTCAAAAACAAAACAAAACAAAAAACATTCCCATGCATAATTTTAAAGTGAGAGTGAAATGCAGCACAGTCATGATTCATCCATATTCATTCAACACTGCCTCCTTGTGGACAGATTACACAGTTTGACTGAGGTACTGAGCATGATTAGAGAAGAAATCCCTAATAACAAAAGTCCATAATTTCCAAATATCCATCTGTTTCCTGTTTGTACACTTGGTGGTTCTCCTATACAAATGAAGACTTGTCTGTGCAGAAAGGGGTGGAAAAAGTAATTAAACCACCGTTATCAAGACGGCACATACTTTCATTTATTTAGTGTCTGGCAGCTGTTCTAGTATTAAACCATGAGGGTCAGATCCCCACAGTTCTTGCTGTGTATGGCTGAGGATAAAAAAAGAAAATAAAACACTTAATGCGTCTTTCAACACATTTCTGTACTTCAGATGAGTTCTTGTAGAATCCAGGCGACTGCTACTGTTGACTAGAAAGGACTGAAAGACTTAGTTTACAGTTCCCACAGATTAGCAATCTGAGCAACATAGAGAAAACATGTTTGTACGCACACACACACACACACACACACACGCCGATCAGTTCAGCGTTCCCCAACCTTTTTTGCGCCACGGACCAGTTTATGCCCGACAATATTTTCACGGACCGGCCTTAAGGTGTCGCGGATAAATACAACAAAATAAAACTAGTACTGGTACCAGAAAAAAAGAAGATTTATTCATAACACACGTGAAAAGACCCAGGAAAACAGAGTTAACGATAAAAACGATAACAAAAATAACGCTGAAAACCGATAAAAACCCTGAAAACCATACATTTCACACCTGAGCCTCAACCCTCGCGGCCCGGTACCAAACGACTCACGGACCGGTACCGGTCCGAGGCCCGAGGGTTGGGGACTGCTGAGTTAGATCGACTTCAAACACCAGGAATGCTCTAAAATCTTTTCAACCACACTCATCCTGACAATGAAGAATACTTTCCAGTGCAGATTTAAAACACCAGTGGGGAGAAATAAAAATCACACAATAGAATAAGAATGAATAAATTTAAAAAAAAACAGCATAGCGCTGGCTCATCTCATTTCACCAAAGCTATTAAAACATTCATTTCGTTTTTTTTGTTTTTTAGCCACCACACATTTGGATTGTTTAATGCGGGTTTAGTTTACTGAGCTACTCTAGGAGTACAAAAACATTGTCCTGAAGTACTACTTGGACCAGCTTTTTGTTCAATTGCTCACATTCCTGAGAAACAAACAGCTGCTTTCTGTAGTCATGTTTAAAGGAACATGAAAAAAGTGGAGGCGGCTTCTCTGTGTTTTGGTAAAGACTGGTATTAAAGTTTTGATATGAATATTCCAATGTGAACATTGAACAGTACTGGCAGTTGTTTAACTTGAAAACTAGCAGTCATAAACCTCTTGTACACACATCAGCTACAGTACTTGATTAATTTGTACTTCCCTTCATGTGATTATCTGTAATTGTGTGTAAAATTTACTTGAGAATACGATCGTCTAGGTTCCACTACTGGCGTGACCTTCACAAGATGGAAAAGGAAAAGGATATAGCATACAAAAGGTGGTTCAATCCTTTCTTATGCACCGAGTTGTTATCAGAAGGTAACCACAAGGATCATTTTGGCACATCCAGCCTTCGTTAGCGTATGAAAATGGGTTTAACGAGAAAAGAAGAAAAGGAAAGGTGAAATCTTTCTTATTCATCCTTTGGCAGTGGTGAAGTGGCATTTTGGCCAAGGCAACACTTCCAAAAAGTGCTAAATCTCAAGTAAATGACTCAGCTTAAACCACAGGAGAATACAACTCTAATACAGTATACTGTCAACAGCAGCATACGTTGGACTAGTCTGTCACATAGCTCAGATTGGCTAATTTACCCTTTAGTATCAAAGGTATTTTTTGATTGTTTTTTTTACACTGTACACATTGCTATGAATATGGCCAGAAATGTGCTCGCCGGTGATTTACAACAACATGCATATTAAGTAAACAACACTATCTAGAAACAGGATAGTGAGTGATGTACTGTGAAGTGGCTTCGGATAGAGGAAAGAAAGAAAGGAAGGGGCTGCTTTGCAGGGAAAACTGAGGCTTGCGCCGTGGATAGAGACAGCAAAATATATCTGAGAGTCAGGCTTGAGGGGAAGCAGCGGCGGTACCGTGCAATTACTGTCAAGAGGGAGAGACGCTCTTGCTTGTGTCACGAATGAGAGAGGCGGGGCTTGTCCAGGCGCGGTAGACCAATAGCAGGCTGAGCCCTAACGCCCACGTGCGCACAGGAGACAGGAAAAAGGCCATGGGGCCATAGGTCTCCAGGAGGAAGTAGCAGGAATGGGCCTGCCAGGTGAGGAGGAGCAGCATGAATAGGTGAACAGCCAGAGTCCTCCAGCGGCAGCCAGGCCGCAGGAAGTGGGATCGGAAGGTGTTGCCACGGCAACGGTGGTGGAGGCTCCAGCAGAGATAAGAAGTGAGGGGCATGTTGAAGAAGAGGAGCTGGCAGAGAGGAAAGGAGTTTAGTTGATGCGAACAGAACATGCATTTATAAATGAAGCAGTACCCACAGGTTATATCATAGCTTCTAGCTTTAGAGAGGGAATGTTGTAATTCCCCCACACATCTGCATGCTTTGTCCTTCCTCTTTCTGGTTCATGAAGGGTGTAACAGATGAGTCTTTAGAGGAAATATGTTGCCACTCTACTAATTGTTTAAAAAGGACCTTATAGCTACCATTCTCTCTCTTCTCCCCAGCAGGCAAGTTTGTTTAAGCTTGACTTTGAGTTTAATTTTCTTTCTGCAACTTTCTGCCAGATTTTGCCACTGTATATTTACTTTCAGTTTAAATAAAGAATTTTCAGTTCTCTTTAACTCCATTATTTGCGACATTGCTCAATTATGTCTGACCTTTGATCCAGTTCGTGGCAATATGACTCAACCAGTGATTTTTTCCACCCTAAAGAGTTTGTTTTCAGGAATCATGATCATTATTAAGTAGTTTAGGGGAACTTCTGAAATGCTCCCTTCATTTCCATGTCACTGATGTATTTTTCTACAGGTCCTGACCAAGCTTTCCACCTCTAAGGGTGCCACAGTGTTGACAAGCTGTTAGTTTTTCCTATACAACAGTCAGTGCTGGGCAGGAAGTTCACAGTTCCTAAGAATTGCTGAAAACAAAATTAATTTAAATGTAAAGCAAATATGTTCAGTAACAGTCTACAGCTGGACATATAACATGTATGCACAGAATCACAGAGAGGCTAATGTGTCCAAAACAAGGAGGGAAAAAATTCAATGTTCTTACTTGAACAACTCCAACCACATAGGTGAGACTGCCCTCTAGGAAATGTCCATCAATGAATACTCCAAAGGCAAAGCAGGCCCCACTGTGGCCATCAATCAGCTCTCCTATGAACCACGGGCCTGAAGGAAGAGAGAAATGGATTACAGCAACATAGGAGAGATTACTGGGTAATCTTGTAAAAACCAGATGTTATTTGTACATTGCTTTGTACAAACTTCAAATCTGGCAATCACAAACAACTCTATTGTTTATTACACATGACAGATACAGTGTAGAATGGCAGATAAAATACAATTTTTGACAAAGAGGATGGAAAAAGTTAAATGGGAATAAGGCACAGCATTAAACTCACCTAAGGCCGTGCACAGGTTGAACAGTAGCAGAGAGTAGTAGAAAGTGTCTATTTTACTGACCAAGCGGAGTGACATACACACTTGAGAGGTCAATCCTGTAGACATAATGAAATACCAAACATCTATGATTGCGCACAGTGCAGAAAGACCTCTTATAGTGTGCATTTTAAAAGCTGACATTGACATCCTTATTGAGAACCCTGTCTGTGTCTCAAGCTCAGTGCGACTGAACCTGAACAGTCTGTTACATTATGATGGTGTATTTATCTGAAGGTTAGTCAGAGACAGCTCACCTCTGCCCGAGAGAATAGGCATAAACCTGAAGGCCATGAGAACACCAATATTCAGCAGCATCATGAATATAAAGGCCACACGGCCCAGGACGTAGTGATCTGTGAGGAGGATGAAAGACTGCACGAAGCCGAAGGTAGGAGTTAGATCGCCCTCCAGAGTAAAGTGCTGCTCCCGCACTGATGACCGGCCTGCCGCGTCCTGACTCACATGCACATGTAGAAAGACAAGAAGTTCTTAGTTTTTAGAGAAAGGTAGAAGCATTTTTTTAAAAGTATGAGAGTACAACAAACCCCGAGCCACCAGTGGGTGTTTTCTAGCTACAATTCCCAGACAGCAAATCTAATACAGCTATTCATAATTCAACAAAGGAAAACAAATCTTCTTAATCTAATAAAAGACCCATGAAATATTCAAAAGTCTCAGAACACAATAAAGTGGAAGATAAATGAATGTTGCACCGACCTCCACTTTAACTCTGATTGTATGCAGTCCTGTGAGGTAAAGAGATGGATCCCATAGCAGAACATAAAGGGGGCCTCCAGCAGAGTGACCTTTCCCCAGTGGTTCCCCATCTACACTCACATGCACCGCAGTGATCGGGGCCTCTGAGAAGGCCAAGATCCTTCAGAAAAGGAAAGAAAATGAATTCTTAAATATTAGAAATTGAAATTCATTTCCACTGGAACATAAGAAAACAGAAAATTCAACGCATAGACAAAACACCTGATGTGCGTCGACCTTCGTATCCGACCCAGTGGCTCCACCCCTGGGTGCAGATATTGTGCATCTTTGGGGTTCGTGATGAGCACTGCAGGCCACTGCTCAAACCTCAGATCAGAGAAACTCAGCAGGTCATGGTCAAAGGCCAGAACTCTGTACCTGTAGAAAGATGTTAGAAAAATATGGGCGATAATACGACAGAAACAGAAATACAAGTAAGAAAATTACTGTTAGAAACACCTATTGAATATAAACACCTGCGATTGTCCATCCAGTCGCCCAGCTCCAGCTCCAGAGTGCCTTGGGGATGCCGGCTGTGCAGCACAGGCATGAGGCCACCCAGAGTGTGCAGATGGCCGCACAGATATGCAACTGCAGATCTTAACACAAAAACGTAGAAATTTTAGTTAGACTTGTTAAGTGTCTGCAAACAGAGGCAGTTGAAGATGTACTTTACTCCACAGCATGAATTTGAAACAAGCAGCCAGTCAAAATGCTTCTTACTTTTGTTTTTTATCATTCTAAGACTGAGACACAATTTTAGCTTGCAGCCAAAAGGAGGCGGTTGCTGAATGTTTGCACCATGACGTGATGGAAAAAAGGTTTCATTTCCTCAGCTCACCCTTAAAATAAAAATAGGAAGAAAAAAAACATTCAAAATCGGGGATTGTTCTTGCCTCATCATGTCTCGTACTCCTGAAGAAGGAGAGACGATGGTGGAGGTGGTGTAATGGCCAAACCAGATCGACTGGTTGCTTTTCAGACTCTCAGCTCTGAACGTGTCCAGCAAGTCCATTTGAGTCTGTCAGATATGACAAAAAAACTTCATGTTTATGAAAACTGACAGCTAAGCAGATACTTTCGTTATTGCTACTCAGAAACTAAAACACTGTGCGTTTACAGTTTTCTTTCCTGTTTTCTTTACCGTTTGTTGGACCACATTTTCTAACAGAGGTCCTTCAAGAACTGGGCTCTTTCTAAAGATCTCAGAATTGTTCATGAAGAGATGTTGCACAAACTCACCTGGTTGAGAATACCAAAGAAATTGTACGGCCTCTTGGGGCCTGGAGTCAGGGTGGCATCCACACAGACAAAGGAGTAGTTGCCAAAGGGGGTCGTGTGAACGTAGTGGAAAGAGCCTACTTTCTGATTGGCTGAGTATTTCCTAGAATAAAAATTGAGAAACGTTACACATGAGCATCAAGCTACTGTACAGCATAAAACAGATTTTTTTTTAAATAAATAAATAAATGCGATCTTTAAAGAATATCGGGAAGATTAAAGACCAGCCAGCGCTAACAGAAGCATCACCAATGTCACATAAAACATGAAAAGAAAAAAAAGAAACAGCGTGTTCGTGTAGGTCCTGCTTCTATTTTTGTCGTCAGGATGTTCACATAGCTGAACTATTAATGGAAAACAAGTCTGCAACTATACTGGTTTAAGGGCGTCAAATGCCACAGCATACTCCAATCAGCTTTCTCTTGTTGCTGTGAAATGCAGTAAGGGACTATCCTGGCCATTTACTGGTACTTTGTACTAACCTGTAATAATTGGTGATGCTGTCCAGTGAAATAATGTTGAAAGCATCTGTGAGGAAAAATGAAATAACTGTGAGATTAAGCAGTGTACAAGCTGTATGGGAGGTGACCGATGAACTATTCTTGTACTGTATTGTAACAAAGAAAAATCTCCCTTTACTAAAGGACCCACAGATAAACATCCGGGAAACACATCAGCAGCTGTAATCAGCAGCAGAATAGTTGTCAGAGCCACTGCAGATCCAATGAACAGCTTTCCCTTTTTTTGACAGTTACAAATTCAGGGTGTCTTGTTTCACATCCAGTCACAGACAAAGGGAAGGGGAGGGGTAGAACCACTTCCTGTGGGATGCTCCATGGATTCTTCTGAAAATCTTAGCTGTACACTCGGCACACTGAAGATGTTTCAGCTGAATCAGTGAGCCTTGAGAAACCATAGTAATTTTTTTTAAAAAGTGCCATGGTTAATCACCGTGATTTCCGCGGATGTCAATCCACTTGGTGCGCTCCATTACACGTGACCTCTTTAGGATGTTGTGGTACGCCTGCCACTCCACCTCATGCTGGAGGGATCCCACCTTACTCTCTGTTTTAGCATCAGTCAGATCCCCTGGGGTAAAGGAAAAAAGGAGGAAATATCTGTAAGCAAACTGTCATCTGATGGCAATGCACGATCTTGAGCCACACCCATTCAGTCATATTATAATGCAAAGAATTTAACAGGAACTAGTTAGAGATCACTGTACCTGTTGCAAGCACAAGAGCTGGTTTGATCACCTCTATGGTGTCGGTGCAGAACTTTTCAAAGTCTGGGATGCGCCTTGGGTCATGAAATCGACTAATGTGAATATCGGACACCTTGAATTACACACACACACACACACACGGAGGTGAGGGGTAAAGGCAAATATTTTAAATGGGGCTCTGTGACATTTTCAGCTCTTGTGGTATAAAGGCTATAGAACAAGAGTCTGGCTCAGAGTTGCTGTGTTTCTGTGTTGAAACACCTTTTCACCCAACATCGGAGCACTTCTGTGGACACTGACCCCTTTCTGTCAATCATTCAGAGCTTAACCCTAACACAAAGTCAAACGTCTGTATTGTATACACACTAGATGTAAATAATCACTACAGACGGAATAATAGCCCACCTGTACAAACCAGAATATATTGTTCAAGTGTTCGCCGGGAAATGGTGGAGAACTCCCCTTAGATTCAGCTTCATCACCGACAGTCGGGTGCTGAACGCTCCGTTTAGGGTGCCAAGCCGTGTCATAGCTGTCCAGCACCCAGGAGGTGATGCACGCCAGGGCCAGTCCGAGGATAACCAGTGCACCAAACAGCTTCAGCATCCTCCTGTAGTGGCGAGAAAGGGGGGCTAGCTGCCGCTGTCTATCCCGGACAGAAAAAAAGCTAGCTACTGGTGGAAACAGCTAAGGGCACGAATCACACTAACATTAACTACAGATATAACAGACAACTGAGCTACATGGCTAAGAGCTAAGGCTCAGACCGTTTCTGTCGCTGCCATCGCGGCCACACGGGATGCATTGAAGTGCGTGGTTCATTCACAGCTCCGTTCAGCTGCCTTCGGAGGCGGAGGAGGTAGCACGGCAGGTTAGCCAGCAGCTAGCTTCCTGCCTACCAGCTACCAACACAGCTCTGACCGGGTGGAAGGGGGGACGTCACCAACAATGACGAGGCAGCGTTATGACAGACAGAGCTCCCACTCTGACATTGTTTTTCAGAGCTCGGTAATGCTAACACACCTGCCATCGCGAGGACTTTCGAGAACACCAAAGCAATTGTCAACTTCGGGTTTTTGTAATCATTTATTCTCCAAAACCATTTTTAAAAAAAGGAAATAATTAAAGCTTTCGCACAGTTTTTAACTATGCCATTTGATATACGGAACTGCAAACGCTTGACAGGAACTGGCTGATATTTGAAAGATGAATAAATGAATAAATAGACAGATGAATAGATGAATACATTTATTTTAAAGATAGAAAAAAGGAAAGGACCCTTCACTTTATATTTTTTTCTGTCTTTTTCTGTGGGGCGGGATTTTGTAAAAAAAAAAAAAAATCCAGCTCGAGCATCAAAGATACAATTTTTTTAAAGCATTTTTCAGTATTTATTTTCCACATCTTTGCTCAGATACACCCATTATATAATAATTCAGAATGTTACAAAGGCAATAGATCAAACCCTTGTGAGGTTTGATCTATTTCTGATCAAACCAAAATCAAAAAGATTTCTGATCATTTTATCAATCGTGACATGGCAACAGGGTTTAAGTTAGAGTATCAGGGTTGCAAAAAATGACTCGCCTGAATGGATATATCCTTTTATTTGTAGATTATGACATATTTGCGACAAATAAATACTCGGGACCACAAAACTGTTGTTAATATAATAATATTTTGTAATTTTTTAATATGCATTTCTTATGTTAATGTTATATGATAGCAGGGTTGCAAATCAGCACTAGTATTAGTGTTTTATCAGAAAAAGATATTATCTGTGGAATTTAATGATCTGTGAAAGTCAAGGATGTATTTGTGTAAATAAAAGGACAGAAACTCTGAAATGAGTTTGTCTTCTTTTGATAACATGGGCAATGGGTTTGCAGTTAGAGTGACACACTCAGTCTTCAGAAATTACTGGAAAAAGACAAAATACGTCAAAGAGGACTGATCTTTGGTCAACCCATGGTGCTAGCACATGACTCAACTATGTCACTTCTTCTTTGTCAGGTTGTCTCCCTGTTTTCGTCTCTTCCTCCTCCAGGCTAAATAGGTTTTGGTAACTGAGATGCATATATGTTGTGAATGGTTTCCTTTTAAAAAAAAAAATGCTGATAGTAAATGGTTTGACATTTCTAAATGAGATCTTCTCAGAGGTTCTCAAAGGCCATTTTGTATTTTTAAATAATGTTTTTCAAACCAACAATAGGTTTACGTTTTGTCTCAGGAATGGTGTATTTACACAGCAAATGCATACCTTAGTATTTATGAATTCATTATTTTCAAATTATGGCTGGGACAGAAAATGTCCTGCAATCGTATGTTGACCCAGATATCTGCAAATAGGAGGATACTTATGGCTGTGGCTGATGTTTATCTGATGTTCCACAGCACTTTTGTGCGGGCTAAATTCTCAAAGATAGTGTGACAAAGAGCTTAAAGGCTTTAAAAAATACTGAGAATTCTTTGATCCCCTGACAGAAAAGAGAGAATAAATAACAAAAATAAAATGAGAGTACACATTAAAAGAAAGTAAGTCAAAGTAATCATTGGAATAAACCTAGTAAAACTGCTGTTCAGTTACAGTGCATTGCATGATGCCAATGACTAATCTCAAATGTAATTGAATCAAAGCTGTGCAAAACAGGAAATTATTAAGACTCGGTTTCCAAACAAATAAAATCTTCAGCTGTGCTGAATATACACTGTATAACAATTGTTCCACACCAATGCACCATAGTGGTGCAGGGAAAATAGGGTGCACAGTGTGCACAGAGCATGCTAGATAGAATCAAACAGAAATAACTGTATTGCAATCTTGCAGTTTTTTCTGCAGATGGAGCTATATTACAGTAATCTTACATATCTTTTCACTGGATATTTTATTTTTATGCAGATAAAATGGGATAGTCTTTTTACAAACCACATTTTCTTAGGGTTGTATTTTTAGTATTTTCATTTTTAGTATGTTATTATTTTCATATGCAATATATATGTGTAAAAGTAAGGATTTAGAAACTGTGATGTAAATCTAACTCTACGGCAGTCCTTTGCTGACATTAAATTTTCATTATTTATATGTGTTATGTCTGTGCCATGACTTCTGTATAACTTCATCAGTCTCTCCCATTGATGCAGATGAGTTTTGGCCCACTTTTTCTTTAAAATGTTGTCTCTGTTCATTGAGGTTTATAGGCCCTTGTTTATCTTTAGCTCTTTTAAGATCCACTAAAGCATTTAAATCAAGTTGAAGAATGCCCTTTGACTGGAAAATTGCAACACCTTGATTCTTTTCCAGCTGTTCAGTTTTAGATTTGTAGGTGGCCTTAGGGTCTTGGTGCCCAGGTCCTGTGGCTGAAAACCAAACCCATATCATAATGCTTTCACGGCTGTGCTTCATAGTTAGTATGATGTGTTGATATGCTGTGTTTGGTTTTGTGATTTATGGCCACACATGTCCACTTTGGCCTCATCTTTCTAAAGGACATTGTTCCAGAATTCGTGTGGTTTGTTTAAATGCAATTTTGCATTCCCAAGCTGTGCTACTTAGAGAGAAGAGACTAGAGAAGATGGATTTTTTGCAATTTCCCCTATATCACACTGTGTAGCATTGTAATAACACACATCTGAGTCCTGCGGACCAGCAAAATGCCAAAACCTCTGCTTTTATAGAGATGCTCACACTTGCTGATGATCATTTGATTAGCAACACCTTGCTATTACTTGCCCTCTTTAATTAGAAGTATTTTGTGTGCACTTGGCTTTTCACAGAACTCTATGCAGTCCTGTTTAAACTTTCTATTTCACATGACCGAAAGCAGAGTTTTGAGGTAACTTATTTACCCCAACTCCATTACAATTGTTTTACTATATCATCTTTCCTTTCTTTAGATTGAACTACAAGAAAATCACGTAATCACTACATGTAAATGCAACATTTTTTGACAATATCTTTGCTGTCGCACTTTTTTCTGTTCCACTTAAATAAAAACCGTGTATCGTATGTTTTGTATTGTAAAATACACTTTTCATCACTGAGTCTTGTTGTTTGTATAGCAATGGCGTCTTTTGCTTAATGCCGCCCCCTAGTGTTATTGATAAAAAACCGTCTTTTGTGGCCGCGTTCCAAACCAAACCGATTGTATCCTTCATATTATCCTCTAACATCATTTTCTCATATCTCCTTTGTACGTCCATATACGATGACACTCCGCATACGCTTTGGGCTGGGAAAACAAACGCAGACGCGGTGACTGCGTACTGCGCGTGCGCGCAACGCTAAACCGCGGAGACGAGCTTTAAAGAGGGCCCCCTCGCGCGCGTGGCCGTGCTGTTGCGAGGGGCGATCGAATCGGGGCCGCGCGCGCAGGAAGGCTGCTGATCATTAGAGTTGTCACGTCACGGATCCGCAGCGACAGATAAAGATGCTGAGGTGACAGGCAGAAGGAGAAAACGGACGATCACACTAAGACATATTTCCTTCGCTCCTCCATTCGCTCTTTTATTTTATTTCCAGTCACCGACAACTCCACCACCACCTCCGCCTATGGACGCTTCGCTCGCTATGGGATTCCGCTCGTTGTCGTCCCCGCCGCCCCCAAACCAAAAGGATTTTTCGTAACCACACCCGGCTCTTCTTTGGAACAAGGGCTGGCAGCTCAGACCCGAGGTAAGGATCCAGATGATTCAGTGCCTCCTCTTTTTTTCCACCACTCTTAACACCCCCATGTTTGTCGGCGGCAGCTTCGTACATGCGTTCGGTTTGTTAACCTGCATGTTGTCAGCGCTTAAAGTCAGGCAGGATGGGCTTGCGTGGCCTGCGGGTGGCCAATGTGCGTGGACGCGCCTGAGTAAATCTGCTGTGGCAACCAAATCGCTATGCAACAGCTCTCCACAGCAAAGCCGGGGTCAGTCTATGCAGACAAGAGAAGGGGTTTCATTTTGCAGAGCGGCGTGACACCTTTGCTGGGACTCGGCTGTAGCTTGTTATCGACACATCCCGTTGAATACGATACAGAAGGCCTCTCTGTATTTGCTTGGTCACTGTGGTATGCACTAACAATGATCAAAAAGATGCACTGGAGGCAAGTGTAGCTCTTTACGTGAATGCATCTTTGATTCCCTATATAAACACACTTTCTGGTCCCATCTTTCCCAGCTTCCCAGCCTCCTCTTGATAGAACCCATCGTTCTGGAGAGAAGTCAGTCCAGAGATAAATTTTCATCCAGCAGCAGTCTCTCCGTCCTACCACTGAACCAGGCCACTCTTGGATTAGACAGAAGATATTCTCGTTGGATCCAGGCTTATACGCATGTATGCATAGCAAGCTTTCAGGGTCAGGTCTGATTTGTTGTTGTTGTTTTTGTGAATATTCACCATCAAATCACATTCATATTCACTCTCAAGGAGAGCTACTCTGCGGCAGAATCACTCATTGACATTTCATGATGCTTTTTGTAGCTGTAAACTTGCAGCTTCCAGCAGACCTAAAGGGCAGAGGCGATGACCAGCTGCAGTCAGCAAATGAAAATGGCACTGCACCATCGTCGCCATGGAGATGCTGGTGTCAGGAAGCGGGATGCATTATGAGGCAGGAGCTGGCTGTCATACGCGGCTTTTAATTTTGGGGTCCAAAGGCTGCTTCTGGTGGGCTTGTTGTTTTCTCTCTCGTCATTGGCGGTGTCTGGTATGGAGGAGGAGGAGCGGAACCGTGCCCCCTCTGTAAGGCGTTAGATTAGTCACAGCGTGAGGCAGCCGGGCTGGCTTGTGCAGGTGTGTTGATTTGTGCAATATGTGTACAAGCTTATGTTTGAATGAATGCTGGTGTGTTTGTGGGTCAAAGATGGCCTCAGATGAAGCCACTATTTAAAACTTTCTTTCCCCACACCCTATTTGCATGAAATAACAACCTCCAACTTCTGACTAATTGTAAGCAAATTATCTGCTACAGCCTCTTATATGTGATACCCAGGTGTGACCCT